TCCCCTGGCATAAATCCTTTTTTTTTATTTCCAAACAAGACCCCCGCGAAAGAAGAATGGAGGGCGAAATTTTTCGCAATGTTTTTCCCCCCCCCCCCCCCCCCCATCTACAAATCCGACCATGGTTCAGGGATGGGAGCCAACGGCGAGGTCGCACGCGGCTCTTCGAAGGGGGGAAAGGGGGACGGCAAAGCGGGAGGGTTTCGGCAGGGTGGGGTGGGTAGCGATAGTAGCAGTAGTGGTTGTGCGGCGGGCGGTTCGGGGGGGGGTGACGCGAGATCGAAGATGAGGATGCTGCAGGTGTCGCGGGGGCACATCTGCGACCTGCTCTCGTTCTGCGTCCGAAGCCACACCTTCCGCATGAAGTACTTCGTGCTCAGGAATAACGTGGTGAGTTGAGTTAGGTGGATTTTTTTTTTTATTTCATCAGTATGACCCCAACGAATCCATCTCTATCGATAGAAAAAAGAGTCTTAAGATAAATTAGATTAGCAATGAATTCATTCATAGCGTCAGAGAAAATTTTGCTCGAAGCGAACGAACGAGGAGAACGTGCAGCAGTTTGGAGTTGGTGCTGTCTGTGTGTGTAAAGCAGGGTTGCGATGTGCGTACCCACACACCAGCGCGCTATATTATCCACCAAGTATGTCAGTCTTGATTTCGTGAGACTCAACCAGCTGAGTTTTTTCTGGTCTGGTCTACGCTTGAACTCTAACAATGAATAGTAGTAGGAGGGGCACCGCGGGATAATCGAAGGGGTACCTTAGGCAGAACAAAACCTTCTGGGTGTCCCCGGGCTCTTGTCAGAAAGTGATGAACTGGACAAGGCACCGCTCTGCCCTACGTAGATAATACTAGCGAGGTTGGAGAGTGGCAGGGTGCTGTGGAACCGGGATGGCGGGTTGTGTGTTTGAGGAACGAGAACCGCTTTGTTTGCATCGCCGCAGGTGTCCCGAGTGCTGCGACTGCTTTCCTGCAACGACAAGTACCTGCAGCTGTCTGCGGTGCGGTTCCTTCGGAGCTGCGTGGGGATAAAGGACGAGTTTTACAACAGGTGCTATGCTTGAAATGCCTACAATAGCAAGCAATGCTAACTAACGTGAAATGTGAATCAAAGGCATGCAGGTATCTGCGCGATTCCTGGCGATTTCCCTCTCTCAATTTATTCCACGGGGAAGAAATGTTTTGTCCTCTGCTTGCTGTCGTTCAGTCATTGCTTTTATCGTGTGGGAACGTGATAGGTTATCCCTCCCCCCCCGATCTTCTTCCTGTTGTCTAGTACTTCAGTACACTTCTTCACAAGCATTCCTTTTCTCGCTTTGGGTTTTCCCTTCTTCTCACGCGAACCGATTGTTTTTTTTGTTTCAGCCTCTCGTTGTTGTCTTCTTCTAACCGTTCAGTTTTCTCACCTCTTTTCCTTTCTTCGCACAAACAATCCCGGCTTCCCCACCCCCCGAAATTCTCCGTTTTGATCAGGTACTTGGTGAAAAACAACCTCCTGGCACCGGTCTTCGCGCTGTTCCGGGAGAACAGAGGGCGGGACAACCTCATCAACTCGGCCGTTATCGAGCTCGTTGAGGTATGTGGAGCGCATGTATCTGTTGTTGTCGTTGTTGTCGTTGTTGTCGTTGTTGCTGTTGTTGTTGTTGTCGATTGCCTTCACTTCACATTAGAAGCCGTATCCGTTCCCATCTCACGCCTGCCGTGCTTTGTCGGATTGACGCCGACCCCTTCCATGGTCATAGGCCGTACGTACCCCAAAGGTCAAAGTGATTTGTACGTGTATAAGGACCCACAAATATATCCACGACAAACAAAACCCGATATTGCCGTACGATGTGTGTGAGCTGCGATACGCATGTTTGACGAAACGAAGTGGGCACGGTACTCTGTACCGACGAGATCCCCTCGCGCTTCCCCCTCTCCCCGCATCAACACAACCGTTGGCGCACAATACACATGACGTTTCTTGTACGCGCAGAGTGATGCAGATTTAAGGTGCCGACGATTTTCTCAGTGTCATTCATTACGTGTGTGTATGTAATGGTGCCTTGTGGTTTGCCTCGCGCACACGAGCTGATGCTGGCAAGGTGCCCCCCCCCCCCTTCCAACTTCAAAGCATACCACGAACCACACCAACCAAAC